GCCACAGAGCCACAGGAGTGTTGCTCAGGGCCTGCTCACCACAAGTGAGGGCTGGGGACTTCCATAATTGATGTCACCTAGGATCTTATTCAAAATGCAGAATCTCAGGCCTTGACCCAGACCTGAGAATCTGCATTTTTAGCAGATCCCTGGGTGATTCATATGCATATTACAATTTGAGAAGCTGCTAGAGAACTTTGAGGAATAAAGAATTATCATGCACCTTAGAATTTCACTCTCATATGTGCGTTTTTAGATTTGCTTTTGAAATGTTGATTTATAGTTATTTCAAAATTTAGCATTTTAATGGCCTAGTGTTCAAATACTTGGTGTTTTTCATATTATGCACAGGTATTGATATTCAACTCTGTACCCCACAAATGTGTACAATCAATTATGTTTCAATAAAAAAAAAATACTCAGTGTTCTTAATGAGGAGATGGTCTAGAACCTTTGGGCTCTGGTCCAGGCAGCACAGCTAGTGTTCTGCTGCAAACACTGAAGTCTCTGATTTGTCTGCTTGCTCACATTGAAGGCATCCCTGTCTGACACCAATATGGCAGCAAAGGTATATGTGAATAGGGCCAAATTCTTTTCTTAAAAAGCTTTGAATTTTCTCAAACACTAGGAGCAAGTGCTTGATTTAGGTCCCAGAGTTCTTGGAACATAAAGCATAAAGAGATGATTTTGGATTAAAAACTTCTTAGGGGGCCGGCCCCGTGGCACACTCGGGAGAGTGCGGCACTTGAGAGCGCAGCGGCGCTCACACCATGGGTTCGGATCCTATGTAGGGGTGGCCGGTGCACTCACTGGCTGAGCGCGGTGCTGGCGACACCAAGCCAAGGGTTGCGATCTCCTTACCGGTCACAAAAAAAAAAAAAAAAAAAAAAGTTCTTAGGGCAGTTGTTACCACCAGTAACCTTGACAACAGAGAAAAGCCTTTTAAATACCGATTTGGGGTAGACCTGCATGCTGATCGTCCTGCCAGTCTGAATTAATGCAAAGCATACCCCTACCTGGCCAAGCACCAGAATAAGTTGATCCGCAGGGTGGAGTTCTTTGGTGTTGACGCCTTAAACAATGGAGAATGTCTGCTGAGCACTGCAGTTTTAGATTTAGCAATTATAAGCTTTTTTCTTTTCAATAACGATTCCACAAGTTCACCTGCTTCCTATGAGAGTCTTTACTTATAACAATAAAGTCAAGTCACAGAACAGCAATCCTCAACTTTGTACATTTCATCCCTCAGGAAGCTTTAAAATAAACTCTTTCCTGGGTTCCCCAAGAGATGCTGACTTAATTGGTCTGGGGTGTGGCCTGGGTTTCAGTGTGTATAGGGCTCCCCAGGTGATTCTAACATGCAACCAGGTTTGAGAGCCACTGTCACAGAGGAAGGGTCTTGTCTTCTGACTTACTAGTGTTCATGTATCCAATGAATCTAATAGTTGTGTCACATTGTTTAGATATGTTAAAAATAAGAGTGACTCACTCATAAAGCTATGTGCTCTTGAAAGAATCACTTAAATTCCATAAGCCTGAGTTACCTCTTCTCTAAAATAAGTGATAATTATTATTAGAGGATAGTTACAGAGATTTGAATAAGATATATAAGGTGACTGGGACAGTGCCTAGCATATAATAAGCACTCAACAAAGTGGGAGTTCTTACAAACAACTGTGGACATGGCCTTATTTGTACAGTCAGACATGGAACTTGTCCTGAGTCTGGTGCTGTTATGCCACAGGTTTTGATGAAGGAGTTTGCTGCTGAGGTTATGCTGTTGGGCCCACAGATGGCACCTGAAATAAGACCAGGGAATGCTCCAAAGAAGCCCCTCATTCTTCTTAACTGTCTTAAGAAAAAATAGAATGGAACAGTGATCATCGAAGCGAATTAGTCAGTGTAATACCCGCTTCCTCATACTAGTACTCATCGTGCAAAAAGAAACCCAGCCTGGAAATCTGTTGAGAAGAGAATTGTCATAAAGCATCAAAGAACACCCAAAGAGAAAGTAATATGCCTCAAATTTGAGAATTAGGTTGTTTCTCTTTTGGAAAAAGGTGTTGATGCTGGGAGCCTATAAAACCCATAAGACAAACTAAAGTAAATGTATGATGAGTAATACCCCTCACAGAAGCTAGTCAGAAATCTCTTGGAATTTCTTTTATGTTTAATTTTAGGCTATTAATCAGATATCTTAAAATAAATGTTTTCTCTATTCTTTCTCTTTAAAATTTCTGTTTAAATGCATGGTGAATATATGTGTGTGTGTGTATATGCATCACACATTTAAATATAAAGCGGGATTTTGCAAATACAGCAACAGCACTTTAGAACCAAAAGTTTTCTGCTGGCATGAACTGTGGATCTCTAAAATGCAATGGTAACATCAAAAGAGTATAAATTTATTCAAAATCACTCCCTTGCTTCTCAACCAATACACTGATTCTACGTTACTCTCACAGAAGCCATACGAAGGTACCCATGTTCTCACATTTGTACTATTTAAATTTGGCCACTTTGGCTGAGCTGAAAACCTCCCATTAAAATAGATTTTAAATATATGATTTTTTTCTGAATAATTAAGCTGCTTCTATGGACTAATTTGAATATATTTATGACATTAACTGAGCTCTGGCCCGATTGTAAACTCTCCTTCACTCTGACTCAGCATTCAAGACCCCTACAAATCTGGCCCCAAGCTACTCTTTGGTTCTAACATCCTAAATGTTCTGCAGTGCCCATCTCTATGTCTTTCCTCACTCTGTCTCTTCTGAGAATACCCTTTTCACTTTGTTTGCTTTTCAAAACCTCACCCATTCTTTACGCCCTAGCTCAAATGCTAACTCCTTCATGGGACATCCCCAGGCCTCATACCAACCTCCTAATTTTACTTCTTCCTTACTCAGTGTTTCATAGAGCTTGATATGGTTGCTACAGCATTAATTACACTTTTCCTTATATGAACAAATGTTCAGGAAGCAATACTGAATAACACTTAAGGGAAAAGAATATAGACTTTTGAGCCAGAATAAACCTGAGTTAAAACCCTGGCTGTTGGGCAAGTCACTTAATTTTTCTGAATTTCAGCTTCTTCATCTGTAAACTGAAGAAAATATTACCAAATTTGCACAGGTTGGTAGGGGATAGTTTATGAGAATATGCAGGTAAATGTCCTCAATAAGAGGTAGCTATTATTACTGCAGTTATTCAGATCATCTTCCCCACTAGCTCATTAGCAGCACCTCATAGCATCTTACCCTCCACAGAGTTTCCTGAATCGAACGGAAACAGCCCAAATTGGTGGCATCTGCTGCTGCCTGGATCTTACTGTGCTGTTAGTCTTTTAACATCTGTTTTGAATTTCAGAAAGAAATTTCCATTTTTAGGCAACATCATCATTTTGCTCTGGCGTTTCAACATGTCTCGATCCTGAAATGATTATAACTTCTGCTTGACTGAATCCAAGTCAGCAAAGCAGTGATGAATATCTTGGCCCATGAGACTACTTTACCTAGGCCTAACAGACTATAACCCTCTGTACAAAGTGCCTGAACAACAAGGAACACTGTGTGAGCTTTTGATGACATTGCCCTTTGCTCAAATGTTTAAATAACAGCAATAATGGATCTTAGGAACCTCTTAATTATCCTGCTAGACAGGGAGAATACAGATCATGGAAACCCTCGTTTTCTTTGATGTCTAGAGTACTGATAACTACACAGGATGCACTCATAATGTGTTTCTAATGACAATTATTGAGCCCCTTTTCTTGAATCCTAATTCCTTTATAAAATTCCACAGAAAAGCAGCCACTATTGTCTCCAATAGTTTCTGAGTTTTTTCCTGCAAAAAGCGGAATTTTCTAAACTACCATGCTTTAAGAATTCTTTGAGTGTTTTTTTGGGGGGGTCCTTTCAATACAAATGTATTACATAGGGAACACTGAGAGGAAAGCATGGGGGGTGGGGAGGGCTCAACTTCTAAAGGAAAAAGTTCTGGCTGTCAGAAATATGATAGAATACCATAGGAACATAAGATCGGGCATGCTATTTATGAGAGATTATCAAGGTTCTGTTTTGTGTCAGGATGACTAGCTCAATTTTTCCCATCAACATAGAAAATAAAAATCAAGAAAAAGGGGGCAAAGTTGTCAGGATCACAGAATTAGAAGGAGCCACCCTGCCCTAGTGTACAATAAAGCTTCAGCACCAAGGACAGCACCACATTGGGGCTTAACGCCCACCCATCCTACATAATTAATGAATTTTTAAATGTTTAAAATTTTCCACTCAGATATGTATGCACTCATCTATACACATATTGGTTTTGTGAACACTAGTTAAGTGTCAGACCTTGGAATGATATACAAAGACTCTCCATCCAGTTACAGCTCTCAAAGTAAAACAGGCAGGAGATGAGCAAGATAGGCAAGTTAACAAATAATTATAACAATATATGACAAGTGCTATTACAGTGTGTACATGTGGGAGTCAGGAGAGGAAGTGATTAACTCTGACGGGTGCAAAGAAAGACTTTACAAAAGAGTTGACATTTGAGCTGGATATTGAAGATTGAGTGAGGTTTGCAAGACAGAGAAGAAATGCCATGGAAGAGTACACAGTGTGCGCAGGAATTTCTGGAAATGTGATTTGATGTGGCTGAAAAGTGGGAAAATAGGAAATAGGCTAGGTCAAATCACCAGACACTTATATCCCTAACTGAGGGGGTTAGGCTTTATCCTGGGAAAACAGAAAGCCACTGAAGGGTTTTTAGCAAGGACATGATCTGATCAGATGCATGTTTTAGAAAGATAAATTCAGACAGCAGGAGGTAGAATAGACCGAAAAAATGAGAGGGCAGAAGGACAGATAAGGGTGACATTTCTCCATACAGTCCTGGGAAGGAGAGGCTGCTCCATCACAACCTGGGAGAATGTATTTGGCCCACTTCTCATTGGCTGTTCACCAGTGTTTCCCATGTGGATTGTGTCTCTCCAGACTCCTCCAAGAAGATAAAGGATGTTTTGACTGAATTTAATGAGGGTGGGAGCCTCAAACAATGTGACCCACATGAGGTAAGAACATTTGCATTTCAAGACTTAAAAAAAAACCCAAAAGACCTGTGTTCCAGTCTTTCCATTATTTGTTCCCCTCTTGGGAGGCATAGCTTGCTTTGAAGAACTTGCATTTCAACATGTGTTCTCCTAAGTCTCAGTGTGCCATTAGAGCTACCTGGCATTGTACATTTCCCAAGTCCAGTCATCCCTCCCCCCCACTGCTGTCCTAGAAGACTACATCATACCTTCTCTTCTGCTTACATCTCTCACTCCTCTGCCCCTCATTCTCGGTTAACAATTGTGTTTCTCCATTCACTGAGAAAATAGAAACAATCAGAAAAGGTCTTCCACAAACTCCCTCACCCCATGTGCCCACCTTCCTGTACCTTTTCTCCTGTAACTAGGGATGAATGCTCCATGCTCTCGTCTAAGTCCAACTCCTCCATTCGTGCACTCCATCTCATCCTCTTTGGGGCTACTGACAGGCATTGCTTCAGCAACACATCTCCCCCACCCCCTCCCTTCCTCTTCCTCCCTCTTCTCTCTCTCTCTCTTTATTTATTTCTAATATATAAAAGCTTTCCTTTTTTATATTAGATTTTTCCCATCAACATATAAACATATTGTTGTGTTATTTCTCCTATATTAAAAAATGTTCTCCGGACTCTACTTCCCCCTCCAGCTATGACCTCATTCCTCTCCTATCCTTTAAGCAAAACTGTGCAAAAGATTTGTCTATACTCATTGCCTCTAAGTTCTATTCTTCTCACTTTCTTGAAAGCCTGTGAATCAGTGCATAACCCCCCTCCTCCACTATGACCACTACTCAAGATAGCCAAGGACCTCCCTGTGGCTAACCACAATAGCCATTCTACTCAACAGCATTGGACATGGTTGGCCAAATCCTCCTCCATTTTCTTCACTTGGTTTCAGGACACTACACTCTCTTGGTTTTCCTCTTATCCCTCCACTTGATGTTTCCACTTAAAAATCGCATAGGTTAACACGAGGTAAACTGATGTCCTTGACCTGGAAAAACCTGCTTTTCCAGCAATCTTTCCCAGGACAAACCCACTCTTCAAGTTATTTAGCCTAAAACTATGGAGTCATCATTGACTTTTCTCTCCCTCTCACAACCCACATCCAGTTCATCAGCAAACTCTGTCACTCCTACTTTCAAAATATATCCAAAATCTGTCCACATCTCACTGCCTACACTGCTACCATCTTGATGTGAGTGATCACCATATTTTGCCCAGATTATTGCAAGAGACTCCTAACTGGGCTCCCTGCTTCTGCCCTTGCCCTTGAAAGTCTATCCTTTACACACATCCTGAGCAATCTGTTAAAACTTATGTCAGAGCTTGTCACTACTCTACTCCACAATCCCCCATGGTTTCCCCCAAACCCTGCTCAGAGTAAAAGTCAACATCTTTACAGCCTGCACCTCTCCCTACTCTCTGATCTCATCTCTTGCTGCTCTCCCCCTCCTCATTTCATTCCAGATGTAGTGGCTTCCTTGATGTTGTTGAGGTAGCCAATGTTGCTGTAACCTCAGCACATCGCACTTGCTGTTGCCTTTCCTAGGACCATTGCTCCCCAACATACCCACGTTGTTGTTCATTTCCTCTCTGCCTTCAAGTCCATGCTTAAATCACATGCCCAGTGATTGTCACCTTCTTTATCTAAAATTTGAATCCCTCTTTCCTGACACTTCCTATCCCCATGCTTTGCTTTATTTTCCTCCTTAGTACTTCTCACCATCTGTCATGCTATAAAATTTACTTAATTAATTGTTTGTCTTTCCCACTAGAATATTTTTGTTCCATGCTGTGTCTCCGGTGCCCAGAAGAGTATCTGACTCATAGCAGGCATTCAACAAATGTTGAATGAACAAATGAATGCAAGACCTCCCCCTATTTTCATATTTCTTGGACATCCAGGCACTGTGCTGGGCATGGTAGGAAATATAAAGATGAAAAAGCACAGTTCCTGCCCCTTGGAATTTATTTCCTACTGGCAGCATCAAGTTCAAGAGTAATGACCCTGGTCACATAGTCTTAGGTTAAAGTCTTCAATCTTTACCATCAACCAGCAATGTGGCCTTGGATAATATTTCATCTTTTTGAGCCTCACTTTCCTTATCTAAAAGTAACAAACTAAAGGTAACAAAAACTAAAAACCATGAAGTTTGTGGATGAGTAAATTAAATGAGAGAATTTCTGCAAAGTGTCAAACACTTTACAAGACACTATAAAAATGGTACCCATTATTATTTCTCTTCTGTCCCCTTTCCCCAGAATGTTTTCAATTCAACTCCCTTTTCCCTGTTCCTGGGTCCTTTTGTGAGGGCTAATTCCAGAAAAGTGACTAATCAGCAGGGCTAACATTGGGAGAGGCTGGCCACTCACTTATTCACATTGTCATCCACTCAACAAACCTGAGTCAATGCCTTTTCTGCTGGATGCTGGCAGTACACTTGAGAGGGGCCTTGGATAAAATGCACCAATCAGCAGGAGAATGAAACAGGAGGGAGGTTGCCAGAATAGGGGCAAGATTGCAAATGCACATTTCAAAGAACATTCCTGAGAAGAAGCCTTGCAAAGAAGACAGCAGAGCCAGCAAAGAACTCACTGCCCCCCATCCCCACCCAGCTCCTATGACATGGGAACAAAACTTGGTGGGGGCCAATAATCAGCCTGTCCGCCCTGGGGCTGATGAGTGGGAGGGGAACAATTTGGTCAGGGCCATGCAGGCAAGCTTGAAGGCCAGGGGAGCTTTCAGAAGCAGGCAGCGGCGTGGCTGTTATGAGCACGTGGCCGCCCTCGCCTCTGGCAGAGCTGCCCCCACTCTTTGTACGCGTGGCACTGCCATGTCCCAGGGGAGCACTGCCGCTCTGATTCCATTCTCTCACACAGTGCGGCTGACTTCTAGTAGGTGTAGTTTCATGGCACAGGGTTAGGGAAACAACAAAGGTTTCATTTCTCTTGAGCTTGATGGCTTACTGCTGGGAAAATGTCTCAACGAGAAAGGGGTTAGTGATGGGAAGGGGCAGATTGCTAAGAAAGCTAAGATGGGAAGAAAAGTTTGCAGAGCAGTGGGGCTGCATTTGGCTGTGGTGAACATGCCCATCAGTATCAAGTGATTCTCTGTAGAACAGAGCAGTGGAAGAGAGCTAGAGAGCAGACAAAACCCAGCAGAGCAAAAGAGGCAGGTGGCTGGGTGGTACCATGAGCCTGGACTCAGACACACCTGAGCACAAATCCCAGCTCTGTCATGTGCTTTATGACCTTGAGCAAGTTATTTATGTTAGAATTTGTTTTATCCAAAAAGTGACAGTGATGGTCTCCCCTCACACTGTTGTCTTGAGAATTAACATGCCTGATGGATGCATGATAAGCTCTCTAGTTCTCCTTCCTTCTTGACCTGTACAAGAATTAACATACTCCCTTGAAGTGGGTTGCAACAGCAGCAATTGGCCAGCTAGTTCCTGCATGAGAGTCACAGCTGCTGGGAGAAGACAGGGTTCCTTCAGCCTGAATGATGAGTGTGCCTATGATGCTACTCCAGGGCTCAGAGAATTGCCAGCATGCTTCGTAGTGGTTGGTTATCTATTTTGGGCATGATACCCAGCCACTCCCTACCCAGTCACCCATCACACATTTCCTAAGAAGCTACTCTGCTCCTGGCCTGTGCTCATAAAGAACTTTCTCATAACCCAGATATCACTTGAGAGTGGCACACAGTCATATTTCTTTGCCTGCTGAAATTAGGGTGCTTGGAGGGAATGTCAGTGAGCACTATGCCAGCTCTGGGACCTGTGTCAGATACAGTACAAGGAGGAATGGGCAAGGAATCAGAAAATCTGGCTTCTGGTTTTACTCTGCCATGACCTACCTGGGGCAAATCACTGAATCTCCCTAGCCTTAGTGGCATGAGGAGACCCAGTTCCCTCTGAGGCTCTTCTGGTTTAAATGCTCTGTGTTTCTGAGTTTGTTCTATGCCATCCTATTCTCCAGGATAAGGACATGAATGGTTGAATATGAGCTCCATCATTATTTTCTAAGTTCTCATAACAGTTTGTCAGCTCTTTTCCTATGGCACTCACCACTGCTAACCATGTACTGTAATTATTTTAATACCTTTACCTCTTATATATAACACTGAGTCTCTTGAAGGTATGGGCCCATGCCTCATTCATTGGTGTGTTCTCCATTGGTGCCTAGTACTATGCCTTGTACTTAAGAGGTTGTACTTAGAAGGTGCAGAATACACACACACACACACACACACACACACACACACACATAATTTTTTTTTAACTGAATGGACCTCACAATAAAAGATAACACTGGTGCCTAGTACTATGCCTTGTACTTAAGAGGTTGTACTTAGAAGGTGCAGAATACACACACACACACAGACACACACACACACACACATAATTTTTTTTTAACTGAATGGACCTCACAATAAAAGATAACAGCCAAGAGCCAGGCACCAGGCTATTCCTGAAATGCACCAATTAACATCATCCATATCTATCAAGAAACACCTATCAAGATAGGTGGTTTGGGAGATACAAAGGTAGAGTAAGATATTCTCACTATCTTTCAGGAGCTATGGATGCAGTAGAGGAACCAAGGTGTGCCACAAACAACTATATATTAACATGGAGTAGCGGATATGAGTGTCACAAGATAGGAATCAAGGTACAAAGTATAGAAATTCAGGTGCAGGAGACCATATCAAGCTTCCTGGAGGAGATGGTATCTGGGTTGCACTTTAAATCGTGGCTGGAATTTTAACAGGTAGAAAAGAAAGTGGTTCATTCCAAATAAAATGCACAGAGGCTTGGTCAGGAATGAACACAGAGATCAGCATGGACAGAGTGTATAGGTGTACATAGGGAATAACAGGAAAAAATACCAGATGGCCTTGGAGCTTGAAGCAGCTACAAATCTAGGATGGAGGAAAATTATGGGAGGCTGTGAATCCCAAAGGTCTCACAGAGTACACAGGATGATTCATTGAACTGTGAGAACACTACATATTAGATCTTCTATTTATATTCATTTTATCTCATCTAATTTCCATTTTCTAATTTATTTTTTGAACATATTTCATAATTATAGTATAGGAGCACAGTAGTATATCAACTGATCTCAACTCTCCCACTGGCAATTAGAGCCATGGAAGTTTGTGAGTAAGGAAGCAATCTTATCAGAGTTATGCTTTGGGAAGATCAACCTGGCAAGGATGAGTGAGATAGATGGCAGATGGAGGCAGGGGCAAGGAAGCCTTGGAGAGGTGTTGCAATTGTTCAGGTGAGATGCATGAAGCAGAAGCCTGAAACCAGGAACTCTGGTGATGGCAGCAGGGGCAATGGACATAGAAAATGTCTGGATGTGGGCCGAGCCCGCGGCGCACTCGGGAGAGTGCGGTGCTGGGAGCGCAGTGACACTCCCGCCGCGGGTTCGGATCCTATATAGGAATGGCCGGTGTGCTCACTGGCTGAGTACGGTGCGGGCGACACCACACCAAGGGGTGCGATCCCCTTACCAGTCACAAAAAAGACATAGAAAAAAAAAGAAAAAGTCTGGATGTGACAGACATTGCAGTGGAACAGTCTCAGACACTAAGAGTTCAAAGCTGAGTCTGGAATGCTGGAAAAATAATGGTGTCGTTGGCATGAACAGAAATTGCAGAGTAGAGAAGAGGAACTAGTTTAAAGAGGAAGCTAGTAGAAGTTTAGAACTTGAGATCTTCTAGTCCAGCACTCACAATTTGCTGAAGAAGAAACTGAGGTTCAAAAAATGTGGCAGATCTGAGACCAGTCACAAGGTCTCCTAAGTCTCACACTGGTCTTGCTTGATGATCTTTTCACTTTGTTCTTTTTAAAATAGGATTATGTTTAGCCTTTGTTTAGCTAAGATTTCTTTTTATCAAATCATTTAATACAGTCTGTTTTCCAGAAATATTTTGTTCTGATGGTTTTCAATTTGATGCTAACCATAGAGATTAACAGAATATTTTGGAACTCAAAACTACTTTTAAAAACAGTACTGGTCCATTAAATAGTGCAAAAAACAATGCAAGAAGACTTTTGAAATACATTAATGAATAACAATGAAATCAGCAAATATTCAGTCAATCAAAGTAAAGAATGAAGAGAACCAAAATAGAACTCCATGGAAAATAGAGAGTTTTGTGAAGAAGACAGGATGAAATGCTACAGAGAAGCCAAAGATGAGAAAGTCTAAAGAAAGGTGATTGAGTTTGTGAGCTTCAAGAGAGCAGGTTCAGAGGTAACAGGCTAGAATCCAGACCAAATGGGATTAAGGAAGTGAGGAGGATGGTCTGGTCTGTTTGGAGAAATTTGAAGAGGAAGACAAGAGGGATGGGCTAGTAGCTCTAGTGACAGCAGTGTCTCTGGAACAGTGGACACTCTCCGTGCTTGCAGGTAGAAGAGAAGCAAGTGCTGGAGGTGCAATCAGAGACAGCGAGGTGGGAACCAAGGGTCATGTAGCTGAGCTACACTTGGAAAGCAGGAGGAAAAGATCTTATTCCTTTGTATTGGAAAAGGGGAGGAGGATGTGTGAGGTGGTGAGGCTGTGGAGAGAGAGCGACAGAAGGAGTGGGAAATAAACACAGAAACTCAGGGACAGGAAAGGGACAGAGAGAGATGGACAGCTCTCACAAGAAATGTGAGTCCACCATTTGCTCAGAGTTCCCTCAATCTGGTAAGTGCCTCTGTCCAACTGAATCAGGCTTCCTCCACTCTGCAAAGGAGATGTGTAGAACATCCATCTCAGCCTGAAGCTAAACAGAAATTGCTTTCTGAGCTCCCAATGAGATTGGGAGGGCATTGCTTGCTTTTAGGGCCAAGCCTTTGAACTCAAACCTGATTATAAACATGCAAGCCAGCTCCTGGTTCTGGGAAGGCCCCCAGATCTCCCAGAATAGACAAGGGGTTAAAAGCTATCAGCATTTTAATGGGAGCACCAATTAGACTCCCAAAAGGGATTTTATTCTTGTGGCTGTTATTATTCACAAAAGCCTGCACAGCTAAGTGCTTCCTCAAGTGATTTCCAGGAGCATCTGCCGATTTGATGAAGAAACTGATGCCATCAAAGCATGAGCCAGTGATGACTCCCTGCAAACTGTTGTTGCTGCGTGTTTGCTGAGCTCAGAGACTTTCTGGCATGGGTGTCCACAGCCTGGGACCCAAAGCCAGGCAGCACTGGGAGAGACACAGTAGGATGAGGGTCGGGTTTTTGGCATGTCTCTTGGTTCTGCCTTCTGTCCTTGGCTTCCTGCTCTTCTCCTGGTGCCTAAAACCTTCACAAGGGCATATTTTGAGAAGTAGCTGAGCCAGATGCACACTCCCCTGTTATCTTGGGGTTTGCCCAGGGAAGATCAGAATTATGAAAGTAATGAAGGATGGAGACTGTCCTTGTCTCTTCCAGGTCTTTCCTGTTTTCTGAGACCTGAATACTCAGGAATCACATCCCCCATGGCATAAGAGGAAAATCAAGATACAACAGAAGAACCATGTTTTTCCATCATGTTTTCACCTGCATCCTTCTTCGTCTTAACTCGGATTCAAGGGCACTGGCCTGTCCCTGCTCATTAGAGCCACGTCCCTCACGTGGCTTGGACAAAGGCAGAGCCCTCCACCATGGCCTCCATTCTCAGTGCTCACTCTCTATCATGCCCCTTTTCACCTAAATTTAGACCATGTCAGGTCTGGTACCAAAGCCTGCCCTGGTTCTGTGACCCCTCAAGCCCCAATAGGCCGCCAGTAGCATTTTCTCCTTATGTCCGTCATCGGCTCCCTGTACCTGTCATTCTCTTCCACCTCCCCGGCCTTTTTCCTGCGCCCCCCAGCTCCTCCGCTTCCTCCTGCTCCCCTATCCATTTCTTCCAGCCTCCGTCTTCCTGACTCCTTTTCCCTTTCTCCCTCCTCTCTGCCCTTTGCTTCTCTCTGCTGACTTTTCTCTCTTTGCCCCTTCTCAGCCGATTAGCTACGATGTCTTCAAGCTGTTCATGAGGGCGTACCTGGACGTGGACCTTCCTCAGCCACTGAGCACACACCTCTTCCTGGCCTTCAGCCAGAAGCCCAGACAGGAGACCCCTGACCACCCGAAGGAGGGGTCCAGCAGCAGCGAGGCCAACAGCCCAGGTACATAGACCAGCTTTGCCTGAGAAGGGAGGACATTGTGCAACTCTGACTTCCTTGCCACAGGCTCAAGCTGCATTCCTAGAGTGTCCCCTGAGCATAGTAACTGGGGTGGGAATGGGGACCAAAGACCTGGGACTATTTTCTTCATAGAGCCTTATGGGAAGCCTCATCTGATGAATCTCTCAGTGAGAAGAATAAAGAGGGGCATAAATCCTGCCACTCAAGATAGAGAGTATGATGCAGGGAAGAAGGGACATAGACTAACCTATGACAGGAGGAAGAGAGTCTTCAGCAAAGCCTTCTGGTCTGAGGATGGAGCACATTCACCTGTGTGTCCAGGCTGGGACAAGCCTGGGAGTGTCAGAGGAAAGGAAAGGTGTGGCTGCTGTCATCCTGGAGCTTGGGCTATCGTGGGGGACACACAGTCAACCCCAATAAGTGAAAACAGCTGAAAGGAACCCAGAGACACAGACACAACCTAAGTGAAACAGATCACATGGGAAGGTCCCCTACCTGCCCCTCTGAGAAGCTGGAGGGCATGGGCTGGTCTTTAAATCTTCCTTTTGTTTCCCAGATTCTAATACACAGAACATGGATAACACTGCCAAAGCAGATGAGGCCCGTGCCCCTGACACCAGTAAGTCTTTGGAATGTAAGATTTGGGGGAGCAGTGGGGAATACCTCATCCTTGGGGAGGAGTGGGAATACCTACCCAGTGGTTTGTCTCCATGTAATTGTGCATCCTTAAGCAGATCTTACCCTTCTGTGGCCTTCGGAACATCCATCCCTGGGGCTATTTGAATGTTCCGGGATTCCAAGGCTGGGTAAATGTCGTTGCTTCACTTGCCCTGGAACAGGGCAGGTCAGGACTTGGAACAGCTTGCTAGATGTTTATCTATGACAGGTGTGCCTGCCCAGAGTAGGGTGAGCCTTCTCAGGAGAAAAAAAAAAAAAAGTGTGCATGTGTTGGCAGGGTTTGGGGGGAGCTCCAGGGCTGAGGTACAGAGGACTCTACCAGTGGATGGCTGGAGAGGGGTGGGACAAGAGGATAAGACTGTGCTTCCAACAACATGTGCCATCTTGAATAAGTTAGGGAGTTGCTAATAAGTTAGCAAGGGGAAGCCACGTAAACTTTTTCCAAAGATCTATTTTCCAGATACTTATTCATTAAATATTTTATTTAACCTTCACAATCATACCACTTTACACATGAGAAACTGAGGCTTTAAGAGAGTATATACTGGGGCCGGCCCGGTGGCGCACTGGATAGTGCGCCGCTTGGGAAGCGCGGCGGCGCTCCCGCCCGAGGGTTCGGATCACACGCACCCAAAAAAAGCTAGTAGGGAAACTTGCCAGAATTTGAACCCAGATCTGCCAAAACTCCAAAGTCAGACCATAATTGTGTCTCCCAGTGTGTAAATATCTATCAAATACTTTGTGCACATGTGTGAACATGCCAAACTTTGAATGATTTAAGTATAACCTGTATTTTAATACTTAGGACAGCATCATAAAATTAATTTCTAAATGAATATTGAAATTTATCCAGTTTCTATGTTTAGCAATTGGTGTTAATTTACCTCTCATAAGTGTAAAAAAATAAAAAAAAAGAGAGTATATACCACTGGCGTGACCTGTGGAGCCAGGGATTCAGTCCAGAATTGTCCAACCTCATAGCTTCTGCTCTCCTT